TGCAGGTGGTGAGACATTCCAAACAAAGAGGATAAAAAACCTGAACAATAGGCTGTAGCAAGCTTGTTCCTTTTCTACTTCCTTCCTATCTTTATTGAGTGCTAACTCTAGGTTAGGAAGTTGTCCTTGTCTTCTTGGAGTTTAGAGTCTAAAAGAGGGAGAAGGCATCAAAGTAAAGAAGAGAAAAACATTATAAGGTCTATAATTGGAGATAAGACCTCTTTCCTCTTTTGCTCCTTTCTTCCCTGATTTTTCTGCTGTGTGTGCGTGTGTGCGTGTATGTGTGTGTGTGTGTGTGTGTGTGTGTGTGTACACATATACACACAGTTAACTCTTGGACAACATGGATTTGAATGCACGGTCCATTTATACATGGATTTTTTTTCAACAAATATGTACAGTACCATAAATAGGTTTTCACTTCCTTATGACTTTAACAACATTTTCTTTCCTTTAGCTTACTTTATTATAAGAATGCAGTATATAACACATATAACAAAATTTGCGTTAATTGGCTATTTATGTTATCACTAAGGCTTCTGGTCAACAGTAGGCTATTAGTAAAGTTTTGGAGGAGTCAAAAGTTATACTTGGATTTTCAGTTGTGGGAGAGTGGTTGGCTCCTCTAACCCCCATGTTGTCCAAGGGTCAACTGTGAATATATACACATACATACATACACATATATGTATATGTGTGTGTTTATATACATGTGTGTGTGTGTATATATATATATGTATTTATGTATGTATCAAATACTTACAAAGATACATACAGAACCAGGTTAAAAAGGAAGAAATTGGGAGGGAGAAATTTGAAAGTAAGAAAATTATGAAGTCAGATTAATCAACAAATTATTTCCTTAAGTCTGGTCTAAATAGCTGAATGTGGGCCACAAGTTTAGATCTGACTTCCCAGCAGCCAGTGCAAAGAAGAATACACAACCAATTGCATAATTCACAGCATCCATAAAATTAAAACTTGATTGGCCGAGAAATCACATGGATTAGGCATTATATATATAAGGCATTGTGGGACATACTTAGCAATGTCCTCCATAGCATCTCTCATTGCACCAAAATGCTCTGTAGGGCATGACAGAAATCTGTAGGGTTGAAGAAAACAGAAAAGAGAATATTAAATTCTTGTTGGTGCTAACCTTTCTGCTAGGATTGGGCTGGGTTAGTCTGAGCCTCCACCTTTATAATTTCCTTTAGTTCAATATTCTGTTTTAAGTGCTAAGCTAGAGACATGCACTGGAGGTTATGGAAGTGGAGAGGGATACTCACCTGTGACTGCACCGAAGAAGCGCAGGCCGATGCTAGGGACCTGGAGATGATGCCTGCGGAAGGATCCAGAGGGAGCTGTCCAGGGGAAAAGGCAGGAAGGCCTTCTATCCGTGAGACAATAACTTCGATTGGGCACAGAAGTATGGAGAGTGCTGACAGGGAGTAATGGGTAGTTTGGCACTGAAAAAGTATAAAATATGAGGCCAGGTATGGTGGGAGGTGGAGCTGAAGAAGTAAGCAAGGGCCAGACTGTGCCTGTCTTATGTGCTCTCCTAAGGAATGTGGCTTTGCTCTGCAGAAAGATACTGACATGCCCCTGAAGGGGAACTGAATCTGCTAACTATTGCATTAATGCACAATAACTCTCCCCAAAACTCAGTGGCTTAAACAACAATCACATATTCTTGTGCACAGATCTGTGAGTCTGTGAGGGGAAGGAGGTTACACTTCAGGGTGCAGGTCCTCAGGTTACCTAGGGTAGCCCCGAGTGGGGCCCAGCCTGAAAGAGCAGCAGCCACCCAAGATTAGCTCATCTCTAGTGAAGTGTGGAAGTAGAGGAGGGTGAGAAGACAGACAGAAATCTGTGGAGGCCTCATCAGAGAAGGGATATGCCCTCAGGAATACCTATATTCCATTAGCAAAGCAAGTCCTGTGGCCAAGCACAATGTTATCAGGGAGGGGAGATAAACTCTGCCCCCTCAGTGGGAGCTACTGCAGAGTCACATGCCAGAGAGTGGTGTGAATTATACAGGGAAGTTTGTGAAGAATTATGAGCAAAGATTCTGTCTACCTTGGGGGCGAAATAGTTGGACTTGACATTTTTAGATAGTACACTTGAGTAGTTGCATGGAAAGCGGATTTGAGAGAGGTGATACTGGAGTCAGAAGGATCAGTCAGGAGGGTCAGGTGAGACCTAGTGAGAATCAGGCTGGGCAATAGTGAGCTGTAATGGGACAGTTAGTTCAAAACAACATATGAGATAAAACCATCAGGACTAATGACTTAGAGTCATTTATGGCTGGTTTTAAGATACCTCCATTTATTGTACAGAGTCCACTGCTAAGGTTTGCATATGAAAAGGCTAGTTGCCCATCCAATCAATATCTGTTTTCTTATTTCTTGTTAAAACAACTCCAGTTTCACTTGTGGCATTAATATACTCAACTAAAAAAAATTTTCCTAGCTTCCTTTGCAGCTGGGAGGTGGTCATATGGTAAGCCTTGGATATAAATGAGATTTACTAGGTCTAATTACCAGAAACGATTTCTACAGGGGCATGTGCTCTTTTACCATTTGCTCCTCCTATCTTCTTCCTGCCTCAAATGTAAATGAAAGTCTGGAGGTCCAGCAGCCATTGTGTGGCCAGGAGGCAATCATGCTAAGGATGGCTGAGTGGAGCAAAACACTAAATCTTTGAAATTGTAAAGACGCCATACCAGCTCTCAAATGCCTATCTTTAGAATATCAGTTATGTGAGAGGAAATAAATGCCCTCTTTAAGTGACTGTTTTTCAAGTTTGTATTTAATAGCCAAATGAAGTTTCTGATACCACACATGGCCTTAGCAATATAAAACAGTATTCATTCAATAATTATCCCGAATCAATGACCAAAATTAGAAACATTAAAACTTCATCAAGGTGATCTAGCTTAAATTAAGCAGATTCTAGTATATATAAATTTGCAGAGCAATTTTTCTTTGATTTCCTTCTTCCTTGCCCTCCCAACACAAGTCTAATTTCTTCTGTCAGCCATCTATCTGCTTTGTAATATATGCTTAGGTGTTAACTGATCTGAGAGAGTTAGCAGTGAAGGGGGCTGACTGTTTTGTTTTAGAATAGAACTCTTGAAGAACAAACCTGTGACAGAGGAAAAAAAAAACAAAACAGATGTAGAGATTCCTATTTCCAGATAAGGGGATACCTTACCTGGTAATACTGGTAATCCAGATACTGGTAATCAAAAACTTGCATTTCTGTAGGTACCTTGATAAAGCACTTCATATATATTATCTCTTTAGCTGCTTGAGGCTAGATGATTTATTTGAGGATAACTAACAAGTGACAGAGACAAGACTCACATTTTACTGGCTTATATTTTCTCTTCCTGTGCCAAAAGTGGTCTTAGGAACTGTGTTGAAGAGAGCCCTCTGTGTACATGACAGAAGGACATAAGGAGAGGTGTCAAAGAAATATCACACTGGGCACAGTTACACAGGAAAGGAAGACTTTAAGTCTATAGCAATAGGGGAGAAAGGGAGAAAGAGAGAGAGAGAGAGAGAGAGTGTGTGTGTGTGCGAGAGAGAGAGAGAGAGAGAGAGAGAGAGAGAACTCTATTGACATAAAAAGACAGGAGGATTTTTAAGCTCTGAGATGGGCTACTGGGAAAGTACTGGAAAACGGTGGGAGGAGGAGTTGGTTAATGTGTTTAGGCCATCTGCGTTTGCTAATCAGCACTCATTGAAGTTAGGCTTCCACTATCCCATACAGACTGGGGCTATATCTTCGTTGAGGATTTCATTCCAAAGAGATGGCTTCCTGGGACCTGAGAAACATTCCTGGGTGGTAAAATTGATGAGAAACTGGGAGCTGATTTATATCTCAAGAGAGTAGAGAAATAATTTATGATGGATAGTTTTCTAAAGTAAATGCTCTAAGAAAAGGGTGGTGGGGAAGAAACCTCTAAAGTTTAGTCAATCTGAGGGGAACTTTAAGGCCATTGAGGTCAGAGGGCAGCGCTACTTTTCCCTGCTCTCCAGGAAGCCAGGTCTCAGAAGTTCCCAAGTGATCACCTCTTAACAGGTGGCAGCTTTAGCATGGGACACGTGCCGACAAACTGGTGGGGGGACTCTGATTTAGATCTTCATCCAGGTGGAGATGATTTCCTCT